CTTCTGAAGACCCGAGGAAATTAAGTGTAAGTAAAGCATATAGCATTAGGAACTTTTGCGCATTTTCAGCCCCACTGTGAGCTAAAAGTTTGTAAGGCAAATTAGATCCAAAGGAGGGGCCCACTCTGGATATGCAATGGCCCTCTGGGCCAAGCTGAAGGATCAGCCTCAGGACAAAACCTTTAAGCGGGGACCTAATTTAGTCCCCTAAGGAACTAAGCTAAATTACCCTCGTATCAAACTTTACACACAAAATGGATCTAACAATGGCCACAATATGTTTTTGTCTAGAAGCAAGGACATTGAAATAAGTCAGACAAAAACAAAACCAAGCCAAGAAATACAGAACCAACAAGAAAAAGGGAAAGGAAATTAAAACAATGTTAACTGCCATTTATAATCCAACTCAGACGTATAACCACCCCGAGCCCACGAGGAGTCACTATTACCTTTTATCCCCAGATACTCTAAACCTTCATCTACAAGCATTGCCTCATATCCTTTCATTCAGAATTATAAATAAGTCAGAGATTATTTTTATAATCAATGTGCATATAACGTATGGCAAAGGCATGGCTGGTCCAGGGAATACGGACTTCCTCTCCCCTCCCAGTGCGAAAATCCCAGCTAGGTCTGCATTTTTCCTAGGCTTTCTCCCTCTGACCTCTCAATGGGGTACCCACTCTCCTGTGACCTTCTGGCCTGCATGCAATCCATCCACACTGGGGATTTAGCCGATTCTTGGCTGTAACAACCCATTTCTGCTTCAAGACTACATATTACACACTACACACCTGCTCTGCTGACGTTTTCCGAGCTGTTCCTTTCTTCTAACAATCCCTCCTGTTGGGAGGTTGATATGAAGATCAACGAGTTAATGTTTGTCAAATACTTTAGGTTTCTCAGATGAAAGGCAACATTAAAGTTCAAGAGACCTGAGGCCGCCATCACACTGGCGGTGTTGCAGTTGACTCTATATTTGGGCTTCAAAGAAGGAAAGAAATCAAGGCTGAAAAGACACTCTTTTGTGAAGACTGGCTAGCTTTGCATTCTTGCTAAAATAAAGGCAGGCAGGTTTATTCTCAGCATTCCTTAATTAACTGGATCCTAACATTAGAAATCCAAGGATCTTTCTATTAACCCGGGACCCTTGTTTTCGTAAGTGGTATACAGGGAACAGGATTCTTTTCTCTGCCCTTCTCTAAGCAGCTTTTCCTTCCCAAGCTTCCTTACTGGCTGACGATGCAATTCTCAACCTCCTCCTATGTGAGGGGCCACATGAAAGCTGCAAGCCAACACGTTTGCTTTGAGCCAACAGACCAAAATAAAATGAAATAAAATAAAGGTCAAAGACAAAGCTTTATGTGTATGTTGGCATGCATGTGAATTCAGGCTGCTGGGGAAAAAATGACACACACACAAAGAGCACATTCATGGCCACATATAACTCCTCAAACATATAAATAGCCATTCTTGACCCCACACCTACTCTGCGCAAAGCACTATGTCAGGAAGGGAACACAGGGCATTGCAATGAATTCACAAATACACTGGCAAGTTAGATACCACCGGCCCCACCTTGTAGATGAAAGAACAGACACTCCAGAGGGCTGCAAAGTTTGGCCAACATTACAGAGCTAAAAAGAGGCGGAGCTGAAATTCAAACCTAGCTACATTTCAAACGCCCAAAGCTGGATCCCCTACTCCATCCAGCAGGCTGATAGATGGGAAGGCTGTAGAACTTGCTAACACCCCTTCGACTGACTGCTCAAAAAGCACTCCACGGTGGGGGGCCTGGGTGGCTCAGTCAGTTAAGCCTCAGACTCTTAATTTCCGCTCAGGTCATGATCTCAGGGTTCATGAGACTGAACCCCGCATCGGGCTCTGCGCACACACCTTGGAATTCTCTCTTCCTCTCTCTCTGCCACACCTTCCCCACACTCATGGTCTCTCTATCTAAATAAATAAATAAATAAATATTTAAAAAAAGAAAAAGAAGCACTCCAGGGCGTTCAGACAGGGCAAGGTAAATTAACTCAGGGAAGATCACAAAAAAATCAGGAAGGGGAGATCTTATTTCAAACATCAGTTTTAATCTCATTACAAAAACTTGTCTTCCCTCGTTCTTTTTTAGTCAGCCCAAGCAGTAATGATTTAATTGGCTAATTAAGTATTTCCTCTTATCTCTCTCCCTTGCCTTATCTCTACCAAAGTGCACAGCACAGTGCCAAGGCTTACAGTGGGTTCCAATCCTACACAACCTCTGGGGATTAAGAAGTTCAAATGCAGCATAGCAGGTGAAAGAGAAAATGAATATGGAACCCAGGTGGGCTACACTATACAATCAAAAGGTTTATGTTTGCTTCCCTGAAGCAAAAAACACACAAACTCTTAATTCAGAAGGAGGGCATTTGTTTAAAAAAATTTTTTTTTTCATAGTTCTTGACCCCTGGCCCATCCATTCAGGACAGACAGGAACTCTCCTAGAAATTATGATTTTTCTCTGAATTATTTAGGTTCTTCCATATTAAAAATTTTTTGTGTGTTTATTTATTTTTGAGAGAGAGAGAAATAGAGCATGAGCGGAGGAGGGACAGAGAGAGAGGCAGAATCCGAAGCAGGCTCCAGGCTGTCAGCACAGAGCCCGGCGCGGGGCTTGAACCCACAAACCCGGAGATCATGACCTGAGCCGAAGTCGGATGCTTAACCGACTGAGCCTCCCAGGCGCCCCTAAGGTTCTTCCAAATGAAAACAGTCTTACTGTTCTCTTTCCATTCGAGCTGTCCAGCCCACATAGCGTGCACACCCCACAACAGCTAAAGTGTGAATAACAACTATGTTTGAGCCAATGACGGAAGGCGGACAAGTACAGGGATGAGCAAGAAAGGGCTTCCCCTCAGCCGTGTCTCTGGTGCAGGTCCACACCTCCAGTAAAACTCCTGTCAAGGGGCTGTTCTTGAGATAAGAGAAGGTGTTTGTGGAGGGGCCTGGATCAACATCCTCAAACTGTACTCTTTCAGCGCTACGACGTCAGCCAGGACCCAGCCACTCTGCACACTGGGACAACCCCACTTCAGCCCAGTGAGGCGGCACCCTAGAAAAGCAGCCCACATACAGAGCACTATGGCCTGGTGAGGAACCTTTCCCGGCGGCATCTGCCGAATCCTGGACCATCAGGCCATACACCAACTTGCCAGAAGACACGCCCGTGTTTCTAAAGTTTCCGAGAGAGAGAAAGTAATCCTTATGACTGTGCAAAAGCAATGATGACGGTTCAATGGAGAGAAAACTGCAGCACACACCGTGACGCGTACACGGGCTCCTTCTGCACCTCGTGGCCCCCCATTTAGATCAGGCAGGAGAGCATCGTGCCTCTCGGGCCCCACTCGTTAAGGCTATCATTGCCGTGGCACAAGCTTTTAACCCCATCACCAAAAGATAAGCAACTTTAATGCACGGTTGTGTAACGCTGCTGTATCATCACCTACCGCTGTCAAGTGGCTCTTTAAAAGGGAATCAAGTACCATTCTAATGAAAACAGGCACGGGTCAGTTAGTGCCAATTAAAACGTAGATGGTCATGCAACTGCTGCTTGTGGAAATGGCATCAGGCAGGCATGGAGGGGGGTCCAAACAGAGAGACTCCTAAGAGGGTAACATGCTTCTAGTTTAATTTCTCATATCTATCATACCCCACATAGCTGGGGCTATGATCTCTAGTTCAAATAGCCAGCTTTTTGAGCTCCTTTTTTGGATGACTCTCACTTTGCACAAGCTGTTTCTTCTACCTGGAATGCACCCCCCTAATCACTCATACAGGTAAACACCCCTTTAACCCTATAAGCTCAGGGCACACCTCACCCCTTCATCTCCAGGACCCAGCTTTCTCTGACTCTCAAAGCACCCCTCCCTCCCTACACTATCATTCTTGAACAGCCTGTGGGTTTCCTCCAGGAGGCTGCAGTTAGAGCTTGCTGAAGTATCTTTGTGTCCCGTTCTCCTAGCACAGACTAGAAGCTCAATACTAGGTTTGTTGAATGAATGGGTGAACTAAGCCATTTTAAGAAATTAACACGTTGGTGGAAACTCTGTAACCATATCTTCAGCCTACAGTAGAGAGTCCCCGCCTTCACAAAGAGCCTGCAGCAGCCAGTTCCTGGACAGACTGAAGCCCAAACCCCACAATCTCCTTGAATTGTAGGTGGGGTTAGTGGGGGCGAGGGGGGGGGGGTTGGACAACCGAAGGAAGTGTTAAGGAATGCTAGGTAGGGGGACCACTATCTCGCTACTCCCTCAAAAAGGTATAAAACTCCCAAGTAGTCAAAACCCAGTTTTAGGGGTCATGCCAGGGAGAAAGGAGAGACTATATGAACACTCTCCGAACGTGTTCATACTCAGAACTTGGAAAGCTGGAGGTGCAGACCTGTTCTGGAAAGTACGTGGCCCCAGCCAGGTTTCCCCCGAGCCAGCCCGACCACCCGAGTAGGGCCAAGAAGGCCAGGAGTTTGGTGGCAAGGCTGGGGCCTAGTGGGAGGGCATAAAAACTCCTCTCGGTGCCAAGATCCTGTCCCCCCTGGGCAGGCGGGGAGCGGAGTGGGGTCGGGGAGCGGCGTTCCTCTCTCGCTGGAGCAACTGCGACGTCGTTCTTCTCTCACCTTCCCGCTCCCACCGCCCGGGTCTCTCCAGCTGCCCTTTCCGGGCCCTCTCTCGGTTCCCAAAAAGCAGGAGGGAACGGGGAGGAGGGGGGCGAGGGTGTGGGTTGGACCGCAAACCCCGCAGACAGCGCGCCCCCTCCACCATCACCACCCTGCCCAGACGTGCGCCTCAGGTCGGGCGGCTCCCACCCGGACGGAAAACGCCCGCGGCCCCGCCAGCTCGCGCCCCCCGCCGCTCTGCCAGCGTCCCGGGCCGCCGACCGTCCCCGCCGTCGGCCTGGCTCCCGCGGCGCCCAGGCGGCCCCCAACCTCGGGCCCGACTCCCCGCGCCGCAGACCGCGCTTACCTGCTTACATGGCCCCGTCGGTGCCCCGGAGTCCCGCGTGGAAAGGCTGTCGTCCGCGGCGGCGGCGGCGGCGGAGCCCCAATTCCCTAAGGAATTGATTCCAGTGGCCGGCGGAGGAGGGGCGGAGGGAAGGAGCGGGCGAAAGGGGAGGGAGGGTTCCGCCGCGATCCCGGCGCACCGACAAGGAGAAAAGGAGAGCCACCTAGGCACGGGGTCGCCCCGCCGGAGGGGGCCCGGGGCCAGGAGGCCACGCAGGAGGGGTGAGGTGGGAGGGGTGTCTGCGGCTCCCCGCGGGCCGGAGCCGGGAGGGCGCGCAGCGGAGCGAGGCGGAGCGCGGCAACCTGCCCCCGGACTGCGCCGGCTGCGCCCGCTCGCTCGCGGGAGGGGGAGGGAGAAAAAGTTGGGCAGAACTTTCCGGGGCCGCGAAAGCCCGGGCGGCAGGAAATGCGAGCGGCCGGGAGAGGAGGGAGGAAGGGGCCGTGCGATGGGAGGGGACGGAGCAGGCGCCGGCGGCCGCGGCTCCCCCACCCCCGGGCCGGGCGGCGGCGCGGGGGGCCGGAGGCGGAGGGAGCGCGGGGCGCGCGGCCGGGGGCGGGGAGGAATGCGCCCGGGAGGCGCGCGCGGCGGGCGGCGGGTGCTGGGGCGGGGGGGGGGGGCGTCCGCGCGGGGGAGCGCCGAAACTTGGAGCCGGAGCACCCGGGCTGGAGGCGCGCCGGCCTCGGGGACGTCACAGCGCTGGAATCCGAGGAATGCCGGGCGGCAGGAGCCCCGTGTGCAGGCCCAGGAGCAGTCGCGCACTTTTGGTGCGGTGGCTTTGGGAAATGTTTAAAGGTGAGGGCCGAGGACGGAGGACGGGTGAAACTCCCCGGAGTCCGAGACGTGGGAGTGGAGAAGGAAAAGCGACCGCAGCCGGGCACAACCCAGCGCCGCTCCCGGCGGGGACAGGGACGGGGGCGGGAAGGAAAAAAAAAATCCCACTTAGACCTCGGCAAACCGCAGGGGCGGGGCTGGAGGCGGCCACTTGCGGGCTCCGACCGTGGGCAGGGACGGGGCGTCTCATCTGTGGGACACCCTCTGAGCTGGGCATCCCCTGGCAGCCGCTGCACAGGGGGAGACAGACCAGGGGAAAGTAAGGTGGCTTCACCGAGCTTGCAATCTCCGGGTCTCTCCCCGGCGCACCAGGAGCCTCTGCGTCCTGGATCTGAGGTCTTAACTCTGCCCCCTTCGCCCAGCGCGCCGAGTCGCGCAAGCAGTTAGGGCGTGCAGGGAGTCGCGGGACGTCGTCTCCCCGGCTCTTTCCGCGCCCCAGCCTCGCCCCTCCCCGCCTGGGTGGGTGCTGGGAGGGAACTAACTTAGCGCCCGTAGAGGTGGGGTTAATGCGACGCTGCTGCCGCAGTGCAGGAAAAAGCCCCCAGCCAGGCCAGGGGACCTGGGTTTAGGACCTGCCCTGCTCGTGACCGAAGGGACGACGGAGTCTCCCAGCTCCTGAAAGCCTTGGCTTCTGTAGCCAAAAGTAAAAACCGTTTTCTTGGTACTGACTGCTTTTCCGTGGTCCCTTGCGTTGCCAAGACCGGGTGTTAGGGGGCTGTTCTCTTACCAGGACTCACAACCCAATCCTTTCGCCCTTTCTTAGGTTGAAAAGGGGCCTGGAGTCATTGTCACAGATGTCCCAAATTGCCTCAGAGGCCCCGCGGCTCACACAAAAATCCGGATCTCTCGGGGAAGAGAACTGGAAACGAAAAAGCAAGAAGAACCCTACTGTGCTCATCGTGTACAAATGTGTGGTGACACTGACTTCTCTGACTACTTGCCAACCGCCAGAGCAACAAGGAAGTCTGGAAGCCCCCACACGGGGGCGGAAGGAAAAGGCTGAAGAAAATTAAAATCAGTTTCTCAAACTTTCGAGGAGATAGCGGGATGGCTTCATTATATGGACTTGCTGGATTCCCAAAGAAAAGTTCCGAATGCTCTGCTGTCCTCCAGGAAGTATGGAAAGCACTGGATGTGCACCTGTGTGATCACTCCATTTCCTAGATGAGCAAAGTGAGGCGTGAAGAAATCACCAAGGCTCACAATGGCTAGTGAAATATGATGATGGACCCTTGGCAGGCCCCAAAAGGCAAGCTCTTAAACTCTTCAAAATTTCACCAAAATAGGATTCACATTAAAAATAAGGAAATCTCTGCGGGTCTCAGAGTGATACAGAGGAGCTGCCTCTTGGGGTCTCAGAGGAAAGGAAGTGGCCTTTGTGTGTTGTTGCTCGGTGATACCAGACTGAGCGCAGAATGCTAGGACAGTGGTGGGAGAGAGAAGCAAAGTTGCCCGGAGACATAGGATTCTGGGTCAGCGTCTGACCAGCCATGTGACCCCGAACGAGCCACTTCACCCCTAGGCCCAAGTTTATTTTTTAAGTGGAGTGTGACATGGAGGTCAGGGTTTGGTTGAATTACTTCATCTCGGAGGTCTTTCGCGGGTCTGACCTTGAATGAGTGCATGGTCCTCTAGGCAGAAAGGCATGCCTGTGGAGGAAGCTAAGTGCTAAAGCCAGGATGCCCTGGGCAGAGGACTGTTTCGCACGGCCTTCAGAATCAAAATGAATGTGGGGATGTTGTGGAGTGTTCACAGGCATAGTATACACACACACACACACATACACACAAAGATTTAGCACTAAGCCTGCGGGCTCATTTAAATAATTGTACTTCTAAAAATTAAAAAAAAAACTATTAATTTAGAAACCCATGAAGTACATCTGACCAGCCATATTTCTCTGTCTTTAGAACAGGCCACAGAAAAGCAATACACAAGTAAGAATATTTTTTAATATTTATTCATTTTTGAGAGAGAGGGACAGAGCATGAACAGGGAAGGGGCAGGGAGAGGGAAACAGAATCCTGGAGAAGCAGGCTCCAGGATCTGAGCTGTCAGCACAGACCCCTCCCCAGGGCTCGAACTCATGAACTGCGAGATTATGACCTGAGCTGAAGTCAGACGCTCAACCCACTGAGCCACCCAGGAGCCCCAGAATATTTTTTAAATAGGAAGTCCAATGGGAAGTGAAAAAAGCCTTTTATTCTCTGAATAACTGTATCAAAGCTAGTCACAAGCTACTTTCAAAAAAGAAAAAAAAAATTCCTAAATCCACATCACACTCAAATCTCCTTAATATGCATCAGAGTGAACAGGATAGTTGACACCACAGGTCCCAAATATATCGCTACAGATTTACTTGAAAACGTTGCAGTTTTAGGAACTTGTCAATATTAAATATCCCGCTAAATATCTCAACTTGTTCTAAGACTGATTCAAACTATAAATACAGGCAGAATCTCATGGGCCTTCATGATTCTTCCTACCTCCAATATATTCCTCACATTAATTATTAATTGTATACCTTCAGAAACATTGAAATCAGAACAAAACAAAAGAAGTTCCTCAAAGCGAATTGGGAAGGAAGCAAACTTTTTTAGGAAAAAAACGAATATCTCCAGGGATCTTGTACAAATTTTAAAGTCATATATATTATTTGTGTATTTGTTTTTATCCTAAAAGACTATTTGGCAGCTGACAGCAATAGTCAGAAAGAATAATGGGGAGCTTTTTAAAAATACACAATGCTGGGGCACCTGGGTGGCTCAGTTGGTTGAGTGTCCAACTTCAGCTCAGGTCATGATCTCACAGCTCGTGAGTTTGAGCCCCGCATCAGGCTCTGTGCTGACAGCTCAGAGCCTGGAGCCTGCTTTGGATTCTGTGTCTCCTCTCTCTGCCCCGACCCCGCTCATGCTCTGTCTCTCTCTGTCTCAAAAATAAACATTTAAAAAAAATACACAATGCTGTCTGTATCCGCTCCTCCCCATATTTCATTCATCTTGGTCCCTGAGTTCCGGGCGGAGGCTTGGGTTGGTGTATGTATGTGACTATCACCTTTTTTGACAGTATTTTATTGAGAAATTTTTCACATTCAATAAAAAGCACAACCTTAAATGTACATACAATTTGATGATTTTTTTCATATGGATGCATCCATGGGACCACCACCCAGATCAAGATATGGAAAATGTCCATCACCACAAAAATCTCCCTCCTGTGATCTGTCAGTCCGTATCACCTCTCCAGGCTAACTTCTGTCACCGCTGAATAGTTTTGCTAGTTCTCAAAACTTCATATAAATGGAATTACATCGTGTGTGTATGTATGTGTGTGTACATATCACTTTGCTTATCCATTCTCCTGTTGATGTTTTTGAAAACATTTCCCAAGTAATTCCATTTTACCAACCCCCGTCAATTCAGAACCACTGACTTAACAGCAAAAATATAATGAAATAAGTCTAGATTATTAACACCTACGAAAGCATAGTAAGCAAGAGAAGGGAAGAAAGAGAACACTTTTGAAGAATGAATTTTAAGAGTGCCTTCATTGTAGAATACATTCAGAGCTCCTTATTAACAAAATTGACTGCGATATGAACTTCTTGTTACCTAATGATTTGTTTTTAAAGCTACGTGATTCTGCAGAGATGTGTACAGCCACGAGCATAGTATACAACGCCACTCCATGACCTAAAATAGTCTGCAGTGTGAATGGCATTCTCTGGAGTTGTGCAATGCGGTGACCGGGGTACTCTGTGTTCTCCCTTTAGAGAAGGTTTCATGGTACCTGCTTTGGAAGAATCGTTTCTGACACAGAAGACTGAACCCTTCTTCCCTCCTGGTTGTGTCCTTGAGACTTTTCATTTGGGGGGAAGAGAAGGGTCCACATCCCAGCCTTTCCCCAGGTTCACTAAGCCAGGAAGTCACTTTCTTCTCAAATATTGGGAAAATAACAATAGGCTTGTGGAACCGCGGATGAGATGAAAGAGCACACGGTTTATTTGGGTTTGCCCTCTAGGTTGGCGGTTTGCCCCACCTGCATCCTTTCATGTCACACCCTGTCTCCATCGCGTCATCCATCCTAATGTTTCGACTCTCCCATTCCTGACGCACCCTCTTCTCTGGCCACTGAGCCTTGTGGTCATTTCCTCTCCATCTCATTTCTCTTTCCTTTACCCATTTTTCAGCAGAAAGCGCTCTGCCTCCCACAGGGACTGACTACTCCCTGACCTGAGCCAAAGGAGAAAGAGCCCCCATTTCCATGCCTGTCAACCTAAGCCACAAGTGAATTATCTCCTTGTTACTTCCTTCTGGAAAGAATGTCAAACACAACCATTTTGAGGTGGTATTTTTTGCAGGCTGGGAGGAGAATGATGACTGTGTCCTGAGGCGCTTTGCCAGCTCTCTGGCAACGACAGTTGACCACATGGGCGAGGATAGCAGCTCGCTGTCTGGACATCAGGTAGACTCGCTCTAGGTACACCACTAGTTTTTCCAATGCAAACGTACACGGTTCAGCCATTGGTTACTCTTTAAAAAGTCTACGCAATAGCAGTATATATTAATCAAGAACGCTCTAGAAAGAGTAATTCACATGCATAACTGGAACTCTCAGCAAGATTTCAAAGAAATAAAACCTAGACAGTATTAAGTATCTTACCAATTGCAATGTATTCATTATCTTCTCTACTAGTTTTGCCTTGGGTTGCAAACACCCTTTGAATCATATTTTAGAGGCACAAGCTTTCCAATTGTATTCGCATGGCTCAGCTCACTGACCTCCCTTGCCTCCCTCAGCCCCGATATCGCCTTCCTGCTTTTCCAGGCTTGATAGAAAACACACAACTTTGCTCCTGACACCCTGGCGTATGCAGACACACCTCGAATCACCACCTCCTCTGTAGGGTGCACTGCTAATAATGATGAACTTACCCAATCGTTACTGCTTAAAATCATGTGTTTTCCGGAAAAGGAGGCTCTTACTGCTCCTGTCATCTCTCCTAGGAGACCTTCTTCACTGTGATTTAAACCATTTTAAACTTTGTAATGGAATTGAATCCTTAACAAAGAAAACCATTTTCCATAGTCACTTACATATGGTTGTAATCTCAAAAACTTACTCTAACGTTGAGTGCAACAGATCTGATAGGCAAGGTCCACTCTCTTAATATAAGTTCCCTTGGTTTAAGACCAAAACCCCACTTCAGATTGTTCAAGTGAAAAAGGAATATGTTGGCAAGATACTGAAACATGTCATGGAATCCATGAGAAAGAAGGTAAGACCGAAGGGGGAGGGTACTCTGCTTTTCTGTCTGGAGGTAAGATCCACTACTTTTGCCTGTGTCCAGGCTTAATAGCTATGTGACCCTTGGCAAATACTCTTACCCCTGAATTTCCTCAAAATGGGAAGTGATGTAAAAAGGGGAAAGATGAACCTATCTACTTCATAGAGCTGTAGTAATGATTAAACTGGTTGATAATGTGAAAACTTTTAGAACAGTACCTGATACACACTACTTATCAATATTATCATCAACCTCATTCTCTATCTGCAGACTAGATTTCTGTTTTTCAGCAGGGACTGAATCTCAAATCCAAATTCTCAAGAGAAAGAACATGGCGTGAGTTATCAAACCAGGGTGTTGGAGAAGGAACAGGCTGCTGTGGCTGGATCCAGCCCTTTGTGGGGGAAAGACAGTTCTCCGAAAGGAGACAGTGGCTGGGAAAACGAGGCCCACAAGTGGAAACCACATCAGTGAGGGAAGGGAGAAATTTTTTTTGCCAAACTCACGTCTTGGGACTCCCTCTGTTCACTCTGTAACTATGCCATCCATGCAAAGGGCCAAATCTGGCTTCTCATGGGTAGAGAAGAGAGCGACCCTCTAGGGGGCTAACTGACACAGGGCGGAAGGTAAAGGAATCAATATCCGTTGAGCACTTACTATGCTCTAGGAACAAGGCTAGGTCCTGTGTATGTATAATCTGAAATGGTCCTGTGACAGTGTTTGAGTGTTATCAACTGAACTGTGTTCTTCCAAAACTCATTATGTTGACATCCTAACCCCCAATATGGTCGTGTTTGAAAATCAGGCCTTTATGGAGATAATTAAGGCTAAATGAGGGGAGTGCCTGGGGGGCTCAGTCGGTTGAGCATCCAACTTTATCTCAGGTCATGATCCCACAGTTTGTGAGTTCGAGCCCCGCATCGGGCTTTGTGCTGACAGCTCAGAGCCTGGAGCCTGCTTCGGGTTCTGTCTCCCTTGCTCTCTCGGCCCCTCCTCCACTCGTGCTCTGTCTCTCTCTTTCTCAAAAATAAAAATAAACATTTAAAAAAATGTTTCTAAACATTAAATGTGGTCAGAAGGGTGAGGCCCTTATCCAGTAGGACTGGTATCATTCCAACAGGAGGGAGAGATACCACACGTGCACAGAGGAAAGACCACGTGAGGACATAGCAAGAAAGAGAGCAAGGAGAGAGTAGCCCTGACAGCACCTTAACCTTGGACTTCCAGCCTCCAGCGCTGTGAGAAAATCAGTATCTGTTGTTTAAGCCACACAGTCCGTAGTATTTTGTTATGACAGCCTGGGCAGACTAATATAGTGTTTCTTCTTGTCTCACAGAGAAATAAATTGAGGCCTCAAGGCATTAAGTACCTAAGTGAATGGTAGAACCATGATTCAGGCCTTCTCATCTCTAACTCTGAAGTTCACATTCATTTTATTCTATTACGTTGCTGCAGAGTTTTGTTTCTTTTTTTAATTTTTTTATTTATTTCTGAGATAGAGACAGCATGAGCAGCAGAGGGTCAGAGAGAAATGGAGACACAGAATCTGAAACAGG